GCCTCCACTTTTCGAAAACGAATTGGGCCTGGGTCCCCTTTCCCTGTGGGACATTGCTGGTCCCGACACGTCGCACATGTCTCCAGACCACGGACATTCCACCTTCGGGCCAACGGACAACTGGAAAATGAGAAAAAAAAAAAAAAAACGTCCTACTTTTTCGCACGGGGTAGGGGTCCGCCACTTTTGGAAAATACCTCACTCAAAATGCGGCAGCTGGCGGATGACGACGACGGGGAGGTCGATCTGACATTCGGCTTGTCGTCCAGTGGTGCGACGACAATGACCCACATCTTCATCATTAATCTTGAAGCTTCACCGAGTGGCCTTCACAGTCCCGCAGTGCGCATATCGAGGAGTCGCCAGCCACACGTGCTTCACTCCTCAGTGCTGTTGCCGGGTCGTCACCCAATGCCCGACAACATGGCAGGCATGTGATGAACGTGCAAGGATGCAGAGATGCCTGCATCACCGCTGCCGGAGTTGCAGTGGGCCCTGTCGGCATTGGTGGTGCTCGTCCGTCGTTGGCATCTGCGAACTGAAGGGCAGCGCAGGCCAACGCGGTGGACGACAGTGCTGGTATACCACCTCTGTCGCAGCGAGTAAGCATGGAGAACACCACACATGGAGTGTTTAACATGCGGGCGGGCAGCGATGGTGGCGGTAACGATGTGGTGTACCGCAATGACAACGACGACGGAGACACGAAGGACATCGAGGGGGGGGGAGACGAAGAGGACGTCGATATTCGTCCATCAGAAAAGAGGGCAGGGAGGGCGGAAGGGCGCGCGAGAGGCGGTGGTCATGGAAGAGTCGGCGGTCGTGGCGGCAAAGCCGGAGCTTCCAAGGACGGAGGCAAAAGAACAATGTCTTGGACAACAAAGGAGCAGATGCTCCTCGTCCGGTGCAAGCGTGAGCAAGACATGCACATGGCTGAGTTGGGTCATAATTACAGTCGGATGGTCCTACCGTTTGCGGCAGGCGAACCATTTGTTTGGTAAGCTACCGAACTTCGTTGCTTCGTGCAAGAGCAGCTAGTTGGCAGACGAGATACAGTGGGGACTGGTAGTTCGAAGCGGGAAACCACCAGTACCCCCGAAGCAGCTTTCCCGAACCATTTGTTTGGCAAGCTACCAAACCTCTTTGCTTCGTGCAAGAGCAGCTAGTTGGCAGATGAGATACAGTGGGGGACTGGTAGTTTGAAGCGGGAGACCGGTGCGTGTATGCCTGTTGTTTCTTTTTTCTTCCCCCTTCTTCGTTTCTTTTTGTTTCCCCCTTTTTATCTTTCCCACTAGGTATAGCCGTGACTGTCAGAAGAGCTGTCAACGGCGAGGGTGGCGGGACCTTGTCAGCTCATCCGGAAGAAAGCGTTTCAGGGGCATGCGAAGCTTCTCTGTATCTTCCCACGTTGTACAGGAGGATTAATTCCCATTTTTCACGCCTACCCACGACCTCCCTACACTACCATCCTATCTTGGGTGGGGTACTGGTGGTTTAATGCGGAAGCCGAATCAGCCTGCCCCTGCGGTCCAAATTCATTCGAAGCTCGGGGGTACAAAAAATGGGGTAGGTACTGGTGGTGGAAGGTTTTTTGTTTGGGAATAGGGAAGGGAGGCAGGGAGAGAGGTAAAGGAGTGTGTGTGTGTGTGAGTGTGTGTGTGTGTGTGTGTGTGTGTGTGTGTGTGTGTGTGT